TAGAAACAAGGATCTTTTTATTCATAACAGGTTCGGGGTTTTTGTATATTATTTGAATTGTTCGCGACGATGGATTTCTCGCCAATTAAACCATTAACCTTTGTATTTGTTTTTGAATAATTATGAATATATATATATATATATATATATATATATATATATATATATATATATATATATATATAATTATACACACACAAACACACACACACACACATATATATATTATGTATATATATATATATATATATATATATATATATATTTTTATACACACACACACACACACACACACACACACACACATATATATATATATATATATATATATATATATATATATATATATATATATAATCAACGTGTTAGTGTGTGCAATGTGTGTGTACGTGTGTATTTATGAGTGAGGAATTATGAGCTTATATTACGGCGCGGACGGCTGATGCGAAAAAAACGTCAAGGCCACGCCTACTGTTCCTTGTTAAGAAAATATTGATGCGTATGCAAACGCTAGTCTCGAAACAGAAATCGAATGACAACTGCGTATATATATATATATATATATATATATATATATATATATATATATGCTCGAACTCATGAATGTGCATAAACTCAGATTATATGGTTGTGTTTGCACGAAGTACAATGTATACACCAATGTGTAAGTGTGACTATCCAAACAAACACAGAAGAAAATTCCCCCTCCACCACACACAAATAATCAGACACAAATAAGCATAAATACATCCACTTCTTAAAAAAAAATAAAATAGTTTATCTGATGATCGCAAAAGCGTGAAACCCATAGTTATATATATATATATATATATATATATATATATATATATATATATATATATATATATATTATTAATAAAAAAGGCTTATGCACTAATATTCCACGGTCATAATTTATTCCACTGGAATCATAAATACGATCGAATTCATCAGACCTACAAATTCAAAAAGAAAACAGAAAAAACAACTCCGGAAATAAAAAATAAAATTTATTGAATTCTACCTGGATTCTATCCTCTTGGATTTATTTTTTTTATATATTTTAGATATATGATTGCATATATATGTGTATATTTACCACTAATATTATCATATATATATATATATATATATATATATATATATATATATGAAAAATTCAAAAGGAAAACATACCTTTATCATATGCTGTCTTTGTACAGATATATTGCAGTTATATCTGAAATTTTTACACATACATACGAATGTATGTATGTATGTATGTATGTATGTATGTATGTGCGTGTTGTCTGAACGTTTGCTTTCTGACCATGAGAAATGGGTTCGAATGTCACCCCGGTTGATTTGTCAAGAAGGAGACTTCCTGATTTTATCTGTCTGGAGGTTTCGATCCCAGCGTGTGGCACCTTTGGAAAATGCCGGCAAACCATGCCACGCTTTGACCCAAGGGAAATTTGTAAGGGAAATTGGGTCGTTGTGCTAGCACGAAGTCACAAGCCAACGTGACCGAGGTTCTGATTGCGCTGGCCTTGTTCAGATAGTTGATCACGTTAGATAACACGCTCTCTCCCATAAACTGTGATGAAAGTCTGCTCAGCATAGTTGCCGTATAAACCACAGGTAGACTTTGTGGGTGATGAACAAAAATGTGCCTGAGCGATCGTCTGCAATAGGGATTGTCTAGCCGCCCTAGTAAACGTGCATCCCTGAATACGTGTGACCAGCTATTATTTTACTATTTATATATGTATGTATGAGATAATTGGCTCGCGTTGCTAAATGAGAACCAGCACAGATTCTTCAACAATTATATGGCGATTCGAAAGTTCAGTATTGTTTTCCCACCAATGTGTCTGAATATCTTCAGGTTGACTCAAAATGGTATTACCATCTTTTGATTTAAGAGGAGCAGTTCTTTCATAATTTGGTAAAACAATTTTGAGTTTTGCGTGTCTGCTGTGCGTTGTTATTTTTCTGCCTTCCTAAGCCACCACTTATTTTGAATTTTGCGCATGCGCTTTTGTGCTACACTTTGGAATTCTTTATGCCTTTTAAATAGCAGCTATTTTTTGCATGGCTGGAAAGATTTGCTGACAAGGTGTGCTGGAAAAAGATGACGTTTCATTTTAAGAAGTGCCTCAATTTCCTCAAAATTATCGGCGAACCAATCCTGGCACTTTTGCCAATTCTTAAAGTATCACGTGCAGCAGAAAGCACTTAAAGTTTAAATTCCTGCCACGTATTCGCTTCATCAAGTTCAATAGAGTTAATTGCATTGGCAAAGTTAGGTTTTGTTTCAATAGAATGCAATTTTGAAACATCTAGACGTTTTGGGCGTGATACAGTGGTATGCCTGGTTTTTGGACGAATTTTGAGCGACAAATTGTATCTTGCAAGACAGTGATCAGTCCAACAATCAGCACCTCTCATGTTTCGGACACTGTGTAAATCTTGAAGATCACAATGATAAACAATGATATAATCTATCATATGCCAGTGTTTCGAACGTTGGCGTTGCCATGTACCCTTGTATTTGTCTTTCTATGACGACAAACAATGATATAATCCATCATATGCCAGTGTTTCGAACGTGAGCGTTGTCATTTACCCTTGTATTTGTCTTTCTGTCGGAACAATGTTTCCGATAGCAAGATCGCGCTCGTTGCAAAACTGCAGAAGCTGAAAGCCATTACTATTCATTTTTTTTTTATTATGGTAAGACGTCCATTCTTATGTCTTCTTCATTTTGTTGGACTGTCTTTACGTTTTTTCTTTTTGGATTTACACATGCGTTTAAAATGATTCATTTTGAAACACTTTCACATTCTTTTTATATGCCGGACATTTTTGTTTTTCTCTTTGATATCGATATCCAGAAAAAGTACCTATTATTTTTTTTCATCATCGTGTATGTGTCCAATTCCTCTATCGGATCCGTTACTTTCGTTCTATTAAATTTTCCAATTAATTCTTGTTGATCAACAAAGTTGAAAGCCTGTTCTAGTGACAACGTTCCCCAGTTGTAAATACATTAGAGTCATTTGCTGATATTCTTCATTTTGAAGGCCGTTTACCAATTTCATTTAGATTAAATCCTCTTCGATTGACTGGTTTTCCAATCCCAGTTTCTCAACAATATTTAGCTACCTGTTCTAAACGCCGAACCTATTCAGTAATCAGTTTTTTTTTGTGAAATAGTTATGAACTTAGCTTTCTCTGTATTCACTAGATTTTTCTTGAATGCTACGTTTTTCACATTTAGTTGACTTATATCGTCAAATGTAATTTCCTCCAACCATCTTGTGTGTGCAGTGGCTGATCATTTTATAACGGCCTCACAACCAACAATTGCCAAAAAAAAGATCAGTTATTTGGTTTTCTGATTATAAATTCTCCATTTTTTTTGTTTTGTTTTTTTTTTTTTTTGTTATCGCTTTAGCTGCAAGAACCCGAAGACACGCTTTTGCGTATTCATCATTATGCAGTGATAATTGTTCGTTCGGTTTTTTAGATATCGGCAACGCCATTGTAGCGTAGTGTTACAGACCCACCGGAAGTAGTACACGCTCAACTGCCTCATGGGTAATAGCTGTAGCTCTATATACTCTATGTGTGCTTATATGCAAAGGAGTCAACTGAAACTATTTAGGATGTCCAAAATGCTCCACCCCATGTTCATTACGCTATCAGCAATACATCATTTGACATAATTCCACATTAATTTTAAAAAAATATCAGAGGTTACTTTTTATTGGGGAATTATTTTCGATTTGAGCCCGTATAAAAGATCTTTAAGTATATCTCTAAACTAAAATTCTGGTGGTGTTAGATCTGTTGACAGTGATGACAACTAAATTTCTCTTTGCCGTCTCATCCACTTCAACTGGAAATTAAGAAGGCCGTTACTTTTATATACTTCTCTATATATTTGAATATATTTTTAGAAAATAAATATAGCACGTCAAGCCGAATGAGTGTTCCGTATAAGATACAGGTTCGATTCCTGTCAGAGGATACATATTTTCTACATAATTCTTCGGATATTCAGGCCGGTGACTGTTGTTAGTACTGTTTATTATTAACAGAAGATTTACTTTAATATTTGTATCGATAAAAATAACGTACAAACAGAAAATATATTAAAATAATTGTCGGACTTAGACCTTTTCATTTCTCTCTCTCTCTCTCTCTCTCTATATATATATATATATATATATATATATATATATATATATGTAAGTATGTATATACGAAAATTCCCAAGAGGATAGAATCCATGTAGAACTTAATGTCCAGGACAGAGTAAGAATATAAGAGGCTCAAACATTAATATTCCATTTTATTACATTGGCATCAATCACGATCCAATTCATTAGACCTACAAATTCAGATTGAGGTCTGATGAATTGGATCGTAATTACGATTCCAATGTAATAAATTATAAAATCCACAGAATATTAGTGTTTGAGTTTTATATATATATATATATATATATATATATATATATATATATATATATATATATATATATATATATATATATATATATATATATATATGGTTATCTGAATACGTAAGGTATTTATTCACGCTGTCACGAGAGAAATATATTACATCTTTCGCGAATATATTTTAAGCACAGATTTTCGGTCAGCATTGCCACCCAATTAATTTCACTCATTTGAATAGCTCTGAAAATGAAGTACTTGCAGTCGCTCGGATAAGGTAATACTTTTTTCCTTTTTTTTGATGGGGCTAGAGAAAAAATAGCAGGAAAAAAAGAAAATCCATGTTTTTTATTCGTATCAACCTCTATTTCAAGAATTTGTGACGTGTAAGGCCATATTGGTGCCGAGTTCTTCCGCTCGACAGACTCTGGCTAAATGGTAACAGGAGAAAATATGCCCTGATATTTTCTTTCATGTTCTTTCAGTGACCGGTATAGAGCTTTTGATTAGAGCCACGATATCGGTTAGGTAGAAGATATGTGCGGAGGTAGGTCAATTACGAAGGAAGTAAGGGAAACGAAGAAAGATGTAGTTGGTTAAAAGTATAAGAAAGTGGGGGGGAAAGAAAGAAAGAAAGAAAGAAAGAAAGAAAGAAAGAAAGAAGGACAAATGATAAGAAAGACAGAAAGAAAGAGAAATGATAGGAAAAGAGATAGAACTAAAAGAAAGAAAGAAAGAAAGAATAGAAAGAAAGAAAGAAAGAAAGAAAGAAAGAAAGAAAGAAAGAAAGAAAGAAGGACAAAAGATAAGAAAGGCAGAAAGAAAGAGAAATGATAGGAAAAAAGATAGAACGAAAAGAAAGAAAGAAAGAAAGAAAGAAAGAAAGAATAGAAAAGCGTGAAAGAATGAAGGAAAGAAAGAAGAAAAGAGAAGGATGAGAATAATAGAAAAAAAGAAAGAAAGAAAAAAGAAAGAAGAAAGAAGAAAAAGCAGGAAAGAAAGAAGGATGAAAATAACAGAAAGAAAGAGGGATGAGAATAGAGTACAATTCTAACGTTCGTAAAATTTAATTTAAAAGAGAGCTCAATACAAAGTAGAACAATATTGTTTATTTCATGCGTATCAATATATCTCATCAGGCGATTGTAACTTACTGGCTAGGGAATGACCCGTAGATTGGCAGCTAACGGCAGCCAGACATAAACTAAAGCGGATGCAAATTGTTAAATAAATTATATTATCTAGACAATTGGTTTAAAACTAGAATTAGTTTAAAATTTTATCATTGCATAAACCAATTTAATAATCTGGATCATAATAGACGTTTAATGATAAATATTATGATATATATATATATATATATATATATATATATATATATATATATATATAAATACACATTGTTCGATTTCCCAGTATAATTCTGAAGATAAGAATATATATATATATATATATATATATATTAGTACAAATTTAACAAAAATTTTAGCAGTAAAACTGAGGTAAAATTTTCTTGCTTTAATTGAAAATATTCTCCAAATAATAATCCTCTTAGCAAGATTTTCAATAAAAACAATCTTAAATTAAGTTTTAGGTGTACTGATAATCTAGAAAAGTTATATATATATATATATATATATATATATATATATATATATATATATAATTTTTCATTAGAGACGACTTGACAAGGTAAAACGATTAAGTCTTTTATTTAATATTTCTTGTTTTCATACAAGGGTTTCTTCTCTGGACACAAATGAAGCAATAGAAATGATAAAACACACACACACACACACACACACACACACACACACACACACCCACATATATATATATATATATATATATATATATATATATATATATATATATATATATATACAAGTATAGTATTAGTGTATACGGAATAAATTCCGATAACCAACAAATACTATTCTTAAAAAAGTGCTGAATACAGAGTAGATCAAATAGAATTTTTTATTCGAACACTATAACATAAATATGTTATAAAATCACTACAAAAATAGCCATTTTGTTTCAACACTTCTGGTGTTTTTGAACACCATCACTTGATAAAACATGGCTATTTTTGTAGTGATTTTATAGCATATTTATGTTATAATTTTTGAATAAATGATAATAGTTTTTGGTTATAATGTGGATTTTATTATTTATTGTATTTCATTTCTCGTGATCTTCATCAGTCGAGGAATGGTTACTTCCACATATTATTTAAAGGAGTTATTTTTTTCTTTAGGTTTACCTATGTTTAACAATTGTATATAGTGTGTGGTAGTAATCCAAATTATTCCTGGATTGATGGAAAAATGTCCCTCTGCTTAAATGGAAACATTAAAATTAGGATTGGTTAAAAAAAGGGAGGAGGCATTTGTTCTTATCTTTTTATGACCTCTGTATCTATTTTTAACCTACCACCATTTTTGTGTGTTGTGTGTGTTGTGTGTGTGGTTGTTTTTCTAGTTGTTTGATAGTATGTGTATTTGCAAAAATATGATAAATCAGATGTTTAAATTTAGTGTTTCCAAAATGTGTTATGTATATACATACAAAAGTACTGGCCACTCATATTCAGGGATGCCCGTCTACTAGGGCGGGTAACCAATCCCTGTTGCAGATTTCAACACCCACAGAGCCCACCTATGGTTTATACTGCAACTATGCTGACGTTAGTTACAGTTTCTGGGAGAGATCGTGTTATCTCGCGTGATCAACAATGTGAACAAGGACGGCTTGTGGCTTTGTGTTAGCAAAGCTATCTATCCAGTTTCACTCACAAGTCTTGGGTCAACCCGTGGCATGGTTTTCAGGCACTTTCCAGTCCGATAACATCAGGAAGTCGCCTTCCTGACAAATCGACCCTAGTGAGATCCGGACGCGGGACCATGAGACCCCGGTTCGAATCTCACCATGGTCGATTTACAAAGCGAACGTCCTAACCACTCGGTCACGCGCTCATACACACACACATATACATACATACATGCACACAGACACACACACACCCATATATATATATATATATATATATATATATATATATATATATATATATATATATATATGTATGTGTGTTTGTGTGTGTGAGTGTGTAAAGAAAGAAAGGAATAAACAAAAAAAGAATGCTTTCGGGTCGGCAGCAGTTTGATAAATGTGAACTGATGAGACAGCAGAGAGAAAGAAGGAAAAAGAAGAATTTCAAACCAAATGACAAAGAAAGGATGGAGAAAATGAAGTCAAAAAACAAAAGTTAAGCAGATTTAACAGATTATAGAAGAATATGCCAAATGGAAAAGAAATAGATTAGTATAAAAATAAAAGTGAAGAAGAAAAAAGGGGAAGAGAATAGGAATTAGGGGTGAGGGGTGAGAAATCGTCGGAAATGTGGAAAAAAAAGGTTAATGGTAAGGAAAATAGAATTATAGGCAAGAGTGTAAACAAAGGTAAGAGAAAATGTTAAGCAAAATAGCTTATGAAATTATAAGTTGAGACGGACTAAATAGGAATAGAATGAGATAGATAGATAGATAGATAGATAGATAGATAGATAGATAGATAGATAGATAGATTGAGATAGATAGATATGAATAGAATGAGATAGATAGAGAGGGAGAGAGAGAGAGAGAGAAATAGATAGGAATAGAATGAAATAGATAGATATGAATAGAATGAGATAGATAGATAGATAGATAGATAGATAGATAGATAGAGAGAGAGAGAAATAGACAGGAATAGAATGAAATAGATAGATAGATAGATAGATAGATAGATAGATAGATAGATAGATAGATAGATATGAATAGAATGAGATATATATATAGATAGATAGATAGATATGAATAGAATGAGATAGATAGATAGATAGATAGATAGATAGATAGATATGAATAGAATGAGATAGATAGATAGATAGATAGATAGATAGATAGATATAGATAGATAGATAGATAGATAGATATGAATAGAATGAGATAGATAGATAGATAGATAGATAGATAGATAGATAGATAGATAGGAGTAGTGTTATATGAATATATATAGAGAGAGAAAGGGAGGAGAGAGAGAGAGAGCCAGAAGAGAGAAATCGAAGAAGAAACTGCTAGAAAAGAGAAATCTATATTCCCTGATAAAAGAAAGCTTTGATTAATTGTTCCAATATTCTATTCCGAAATAACAACTCTGTAGCATTTTATAATGGTGCGAACAACAAGTCTTTTATCTATCTTTTCTTTTTCTTTTTTTTAATTTCTTTCTTTCCACTGAATTGGACCTTTTCTTGCATATAATTGGACCGGCGCTCTCGTTCATAGTCGGCTACTTTCGGGATTTTTACGAACAGACGACAAAACTTAAATTTGCCACAATTTCTCGATATGACCAACCAACCATTCTCAAATAGGCTCCATCCACTTCTGTGAGAGATTTTTTCAATTGGGCAATCGATTTCATTCATTATTACCATTCATTTCTTTCTTCTTGGTTTTGTGGTGTTGGTGGGAGGGTGTGGCGTTACAATATCTTTCGTTAGAATTATAACATTATTTCATTCTTTTTTCCCTTTCTCTCCGAACGCTTTTTATCATTACTTAGTTATTCCTTTAAATGATTTTCACATTATCAATCTTAACATTTCGTTGTTTTCCTTTCTTCTTCTTTCTTTTCTTCTTTCTATTCATCTCTACCTTTCTTCTTACTTTATTTTTATTTTTTGTTCCTTTTTCCCGCCTTCCTTTCTTTTTTCTTTCCTTGAAAGTTCGATTTTTTATTCACATGATTTTTATTTTAAATGTTATTATTTTTCGTTCATGCTTATTTTTAAACGTTTTCCTTATTCTCCCTCCTTTTTTCTTCTCCAAGACTCTTTCCAAATTTTCTTTTACCTTTTCGGCTTTCTTTCTTAGCTTTCGTTCGTTTCTTTTGTTTCTTACTTTCTTTTTTCCTTCCATTGTTGCTTTATTGTCTCTTTCTTTCTCTCTTTCTTTCTTTTCTCCCTTTCTTTCTTTCTTATCAATATTTCAAACACTCACTATTTTCCTGGTTTTCTTTTATTTTTCTTCTTTTTTCTTCTTTTTTTTTATTCATTTTTGTTCCTCGCATTTTTCTTTTCTTCGTGTAACATGTCTTTCTTTCTTTCTTTCTTTCTTTCTTTCTTTCTTATTTGTTCCTTTTTCTTTTATTTCTTTCTTTCTTTCTTTATTTCTTATTTGTTTCTCTTCCCTTTCTTTCTTATTCGGTTCTCTTCCATTTCTTTCTTTCTTTCTTTCTTTCTTATTTGTTTTTTTCTTTTCTTTCTTTCTTTCTTTTTCTCTTTCTTTCTTTCTTTCTTTCTTTCGCCCTTTTTAATATTTCATTTGCTTTCGTTTTACTTTTTTCTCTTTTCTTTATTTTCTCTTTTCTTTCTTTCTTTCCTGCTTTCTTTCTTTCTTTTTTGCCTAGCTTATTCTTTATTATTCCTTTAGCTCTTTATCTTTTTCACATTTTCCGCTTTATTTTCTTGTTTTTCTTCTTCCCTTCATTATTTCTTTCTTTTTCTTTCTTTCTTTCTTTCTTTTTTTTTTATTTATTTATTTCCCTACCTTTTTTTCAGTAATTCATTTACTCCTTATTTTTGATTTTTCACATATCTGGATTTCCTTCTTTTTTCTTTCTATTTTTTCTTTTTGGTTTTTCTTTCATTCATTCGTTTATTCATTCTTTCTTTCTTTCTTTTCTTCCATTTCACAAATCTTTATTTTTTTGTTTCCGTTTTCATTAAAGAACCACTTCATGCATTCTTTCTTCCTTTCTTCATTTTCCCAATTTGAAACTTTTTCTTCCTTTCAATTTCTTTTGCATTTAAGTTTAGTTTCTTTCTTTCTTTCTTTCTTTCCTTCTTTCTTTTTTTCTTTCTTACAAGTTCGTTTTCATTTCTGTTAGTACTTTCCTTCCTTTTTATCTTTCTTTTTCCTTTTATTCACTTACACGATCTTCCATGTTTCAATTCACTTTTTCTTTTTCTTTCCTTCTTTCTACTCGTTTTCTTGTGATATTTCATTCCCGTATATTTTTCTTTTCTTTCCTATACACATTTCTTTACTTTTCTTCTTTCTTTTGCGATTTTTCTCCGCTTTCACTCCTTTTTTCCAGAATATTCTCCACCATTTTACTTTTCTTTTTTTTCTTCAAAGGCCAGCTCTTTTCTTTCATCTTAATCCAAACCCATTTCTCCTCTCTTATATCCACAGGAATTCTTATCCTTCCCAGTTTTTTTTCTCATTTTTCATTTTCCCGCCTATTTTCTTTCACTTTTTCCTTGCCCCTTTCTCCCTTTTACTTCAATATTTTTAATTAACGTTCATTCTTTTGAATTGCGTCGTAATTTCCTTCAATTTTCATTCACTCTTTTTTTTTTTTTTTTCTTTAATCATTTTCCATTATCCCCTAGGTTTCTTTCTTTCATTACCACCTTCAAATTAACCATTCATCTCTCGGTCATTGCTTTTAAATTTAGTGAGACTGTATTAATTTTTTTTTTCCTTTTGTGCTACTATTCTGCTGGATAAAAGATGAAAACCGCCATTTTTCCCCTCGGAATGGCGGATTTGTCCGAAACGGTAGCGCCGAATATTAATTTGATTCGTTCGTTTCCGGTCATTCAACTGAGCAGACGAACTTACAGTACACCCAAGTATGATATTAATAAAAAAAAAAAAGAATTAAATAGAATGAGAATGATAGAGAAGGCTGAAAAAAAATATACTTTTAAAAGAGTTGGTGAATGTATGGCTGGTATTTAGCGAAGATATAATAAGAAGAAAAATGGCGAATAAAAACAAAGAAACGAAAAGAGCGTTAGAAACAGACGATAAAAAATAGCAGAATAATGAATGACAGAAAAAAAAAGAAATGATTTGTTAGTTACAAGAAAGGTTTATACAGTTTTGCTCTAAGCCGCTGCCTGCGTTACGACGTAGATCAGAGAGGCAATAAGTACAAAAAGAAAAAGGGCGGAAATGGAAATTGCTTAAAATTTTTTATCAGGAATCCAAGAAGCAGAGAAATTGGGCGGGGTGTCTTTTTTTTAACAGTGATTTTGGATTGACGACATTGACTTAGAAACAGGCACCGAAAAAAAGTCCAAAACTACATAGTCTGCGGGACCTCATAGACAGGGTATTACAATTAAGCGAGAAAAAAAGGACTAACCATCAAATACAAGAAAACAGAACGTATGGTAATCATTAAGAGAAAAAGCTCAAGATGCGAGTTATGAACTGGAGATATAAACCTCAAACAGGGGCAGGCATTTAAATATCTGAGAAGCGATATATTTTGTGATGTCAACGAATACTCGTTGTCACTTTCGTAATGCTCGTTGTAGTAGAGACTTTGTAATCGCAGATACAACTATACTACGCCGTTAAACATTATAGGTGTCAGACGCCTTCGAATAGTGATTTTCATCACGAGATCACGAGACCATTACACTTCCGTCTCTCGACCGGAAGATACCGTTGGACTGTAGACTCTTGCTGATTGTTATTACTAACCTGCGTCCGTTATTACTAATCACTCTGTTGTTAAATACCTCTTCAAATATACCAGTATTTTTCCCCACATCTGTGTTTGTCTTTATTTGAATACACACACGCGGGAACACTCCCAACATCTCAACACTTATCAAACAGTATATTTATTTATTTTCATTTACCAGTCTGAATATACAAGGAATCTTATTAAATATTCTCGAAGGTTGGTAGACGAAGATAAATAATACCGTTTAGTGAATAAACGGCACGTCTACTTAAATATGAGTATCCACTAAAAATAACGTTTAAAGTGATGATAATTGTTGTCTAAAGTGGCAATTATCAGGCGCTTGTTGATTACCATTGCATGAAATTCTGAGTAACCGATTTGATATTAATATTATTATTATTAATAGTATAATATATTATATTATATTACTCGCGTGGAAGAGTGTTTAGCCAGCTCGCTTTTTGACCATGAGACCCGGAGTTCGAATCTCACCACGGTTGATCTGTCAACAAGGAGACTTCCGGATGTTATCGGTCGGGGGGGGGGATCCCAGCGTGCGGCATCTTTGGAAAGTGCATGAAAACCATGCAACAAGTTGCCCCAAGCCTTGTGAGTGAAAGACAGAACACTTGGGTGACGCCGATAGCAGTCACAAGTCATCGTGCCCGAGCGTTTGAATATGCTGGCCTTGTTCAGATTGTTGATCCCAGAAACTGTAACTAAGGTCTGCTCAGCATAGTTGCAGTATAAACCACAGGTGGGAACTCTGGTGGGTGTTGAACAAACACAAGTATGCCAGAACGAGTGTCAGCAATAGGGTTTTAGGGAATGGCTTGCCGCCCTAATAGACGGATATCCTTCAATACGAGAGGCCAACTATATATATATATATATATATATATATATATATATATATATATATATATATATATATATATATATATATATATGTTGTGAGACCGTAACATATCTACAACATGGACTCTTCCAGGACTATATAAAGTATGCGATATAACAAGAGAGAGAGAGAGAGAAAAAAAAATACATTCTAATACCGTAGTATCAGCCGCGTCCGACTACCAATATTGGAGACTAGCACATAGTAAGCTCCGCTTACACTATCTTTGTAACCTTTTTTTTTAATATATCTTTCTTACCTCTAATTCGTGTTCCGTGTTTTACTTCCGTAGTACTGACTTTGGGCCCACATCAATATATATATATATATATATATATGGATAATGAAACATTCCTATAACTATATGTAACATTCCTATAACTATATGTACCCGCATAAAACAATCCATACATACAGTTAAAAGTAAAAATAAAATCAACCTTGATAATGGCTAAAAGTATAGCCAAAACCGCCTTCAACGTACAAAACATTTGAAACATTTCTAAATAATTTATGTCCAGAAAAGAAGAAAATTAATTATAAAAAAAAACCTTAACCGCACTGCCATGTCAGCCGTATTAATTAAAACTTATCGTATTTATTATAAAACCTGTAGCCTGGGTTATTATACACATTAAACTAATATTAAGTGCGTTGTATTGAAAAAAGAATAATTTTCAGGGAAGTAAGTAAAAGGAATGGAGTACCACAGAAGGGAAGTGCGAGAAAAGATACTGTCTGAGTAGAAGTGGTGGATACATTTAACTATTAAATATTTCAGTAAAATGGCTTTTGAAAGTATACAACTAATATTCTTGTCTGTACCATAGTAACAAAAGAAATTATAATTTTGTAATGAATAGTTGCAAATGTTAATTGTTTCTGTAAAGATATTTCCATATACGGGAAAATGGTACAGCTGCTCTCTACTGAGAATGAACAGATTGGTTATGCTAAAATATTTCATTTGGTCTAATAAGTAGGCATACTAAATGGTTTTAGTAAAGGGTCTAATAAGTAGGCATACTAAATGGTTTTAGTAAAGGGTCTAATAAGTAGGCATACTAAATGGGTTTTATATGAAATGGTTTTAAAAGGGTCTAATAAGTAGGCATACTAAATGGTTTTAGTAAAGGGTCTAATAAGTAGGCATACTAAATGGTTTTAGTAAAGGGTCTAATAAGTAGGCATACTAAATGGTTTTAGTAAAGGGTCTAATAAGTAGGCATACTAAATGGTTTTAGTAAAGGGTCTAATAAGTAGGCATACGAAATGGTTTTAGTAAAGGGTCTAATAAGTAGGCATACGAAATGGTTCTAGTAAAGGATCTAATATATAGGCATGCTAAATGGTTTTAGTAAAGGGTCTAATAAGTAGGCATACTAAATGGTTTTAGTAAAGGGTCTAATAAGTAGGCATACTAAATGGTTTTAGTAAAGGGTCTAATAAGTAGGCATACTAAATGGTTCTAGTAAAGGATCTAATATATAGACATACTAAATGGTTTTAGTAAAGGGTCTAATAAGTAGGCATACTAAATGGTTTTAGTAAAGGGTCTAATAAGTAGGCATACTAAATGGTTTTAAAAGGGTTTTAAGTAGGCAAATGAAATGGTTTTAGTAAAGGGTCTAATAAGTAGGCATACTAAATGGTTTTAGTAAAGGGTCTAATAAGTAGGCATACGAAATGGTTTTAGTAAAGGGTTTAAGTAAACTAAATGGTTCTAGTAAAGGATCTAATATATAGGCATACTAAATGGTTTTAGTAAAGGGTTCTAATATAGTAGGCAGACTAAATGGTTTTAGTAAAGGGTCTAATTTTAGTAAAGGGTCTAATAAGTAGGCATACTAAATGGTTCTAGTAAAGGATCTAATATATAGGCATACTAAATGGTTTTAGTAAAGGGTCTAATAAGTAGGCATACTAAATGGTTTTAGTAAAGGGTCTAATAAGTAGGCATACTAAATGGTTTTAGTAAAGGGTCTAATAAGTAGGCATACTAAATGGTTTCAGTAAAGGGTCTAATAAGTAGGCATACTAAATGGTTTTAGTAAAGGGTCTAATAAGTGGTTTGGTTTATTAAAGGGACTAATAAGTAGGCATACGAAATGGTTTTAGTAAAGGGACTAATAAGTAGGCATACGAAATAGTTTTAGTAAAGGTTCTAAGTAGGCATACTAAATGGTTTTAGTAAAGGACTAATAAGTAGGCATACGAAATGGTTTTAGTAAAGGTTCTAATAAGCAGGCATACTAAATGATTTTAGTAAAGGGACTAATAAGTAGGGATACGAAATTGTTTATGTAAAGGGTCTAAATGGTTTTTTTAGTAAAGGGACTAATAAGTAGGCATAAATGTTTTTAGTAAAGGGTCTAATAAGTAGGGCAAATGGTTTTATTAAAGGTTCTAATAAGTAGGCATACTAAATGATTTCAGTAAAGGGACTAATAAGTAGGGATACGAAATGGTTTTTATTAAAAGATTCTAATAAGTAGGCATAGTAAATGGTTTTAGTAAAGGGTCCAATAAGTAGGCATACTAAATTGTTTTAGTAAAGGGACTAATAAGTAGGCATACTAAATGCTTTTAGTAAAGCGACTAATAAGTAGGGATACGAAATGGTTTTAGTAAAGGGACTAATAAGTAGGCATACGAAATGGTTTAGGCATACTAAATGGTTTTAGTAAAGGGTCTAATAAGTAGGCATACTAAATGGTTTTAGTAAAGGGTCTAATAAGTAGGCATACTAAATGGTTTTAGTAAAGGGTCTAATAAGTAGGCATACTAAATGGTTCTAGTAAAGGATCTAATATATAGACATACCAA